CTAATTCTAACGTAAACATTTTTTTTTTTTTTCCAAAGGAATTGATTTGCATTAAACCCTCAGAAAATATACAATCTGCAGACAATTGAATGCAGACCACCTGCTACCTTAAAGGTGTTTTCGGTTGGATGGATTGTGCATGATATCACACTATTTAATAATAGTGGAGACTCTATGCATGAGCCTGATTTGCCTGCCCCACGAGTCGACACTGAGTATAAGAAGCTCGAACTTGATTGGGCTCGGTTACACATCTAATAACAACATTAACATAAGGAAACAAACGAAGTCGAAAAGATGCGTACAAACATATTAACAAGGAAACAAATGAGGATGCGTGCCAACATATCAATAAGAGGAGAAACAAAAATATGAAACCGTAACAAACTTTATCAAAAGCATCAACTTGGCGGTAAAAGTTTCCAAAAGTTGGATTGGACTCTACTCACTAACCGAAGCCCAATATCCACATGTAGGACACACACATTCGTTCACAGCCCATTCTCTAAGAAAAGGAGGCCCAAATTTCATTGTCTTGCATAATCGATCAATCATTTTTGTTAAAAGGGTTTTAGCTACTGAAGAAGAAGAAGAAGAGCGGTTGAAATTGCAGAATGGGAAGAAGAATACTGAACGATGCCTTGAGAGCAATCGTCAATGCCGAAAAGAGACGATTCGCAACTGCTGAGCTCAAGCCCATCTCCAATGTCCTCTCCTCTTTCCTGCAAATCATGAAATACAGAGGTACGCCGTGTAATCCTTTTGTTCGTATCTGTTAATCGTCTCCAAGTAAACGACTACAGCCCGTGATTTGCTTTTCTGGTTGATGATATTGTTGTGTTTATGCGGAATTTTTGTAGGATATAGGTAGAAATAGGTTGCGCTGATTGTGAATTTCTGAGAATCGGACTAGGTTTTGTGCGTGAAGAAGATAGACAATTGAGAGAAAATGATGTGGGGATAGTGATGAAAGAAAAAAAAATGCGTAAGTATAATATGGAGGGGATGCCTCATATGAGAAATGGTGAAGAAGAATCAAGGAAATAAATAGCTCCCTAAAGTTGCCGCTATTTGAGAAATAACTTTTTTTTGGCAGCGTTCCGCTATTTGTATTCATGTGCAATTTAACGCTAAATCCCGCTAAATATCCGCTATAGCTCCGCTATAGCTACAGTGCCATAAATGTTTTAGCCGTCAGAAGAATAAACAAATATGGAAAACGAACTAAATTTAGTGGTGACCGCTACAACTCTTGATTACTGATTCGCTTGAATGAAGCTCCTTCAATTGTGAAAGCATGAGTAGTTATTGTTTTGTTATGAAGCCAACCGCAACCGCTGGCTCCGTAATGAAGTCAACCTTCTATATACAACAAGTAAATCATACTATATTATCTGATTATACCATATTAATAAAATTATTATTGTTATTTAAGTAATCAGATAATATGGCATGATTTACTGGTTGTATATAGAATGTTGGCTTCATAGCAGAACCATGAGTAGTTATTTGAACGATATTTTTACTTGTTGTCTCAATAAATGGGTTTGATTGGTTGTACTTTGTGATATGAAATATGACCAATTTTGACATTTTCAACCGTGGTTTTAGTTACGGCTTGTTTTGAGAGCTTGAGAGTTATAGGGAACTGTTACTATATTTTGAGGTGTTATACTATCAGAAATGAGAATGGTGAAAAATGAACAGGTTACATTAAGGATTTTCAAGTGCACGATCCGCACAGGGTAGGGAGGATCACTGTGCAGTTGCTGGGTAGAGTTAATGATTGTCGGGCTATCACTTACAGGCAAGACGTTAAGGCTCAGTATATCGAGAATTACAAAACTCGTGCTCTTCCAACACGTCAGGTTTGGTTATTTCCCTTCAGTTCTTTACTGGTTAGTAGTAAATGGGATGTTTTTGCTCGACTGAGGTTTGTGTTTGTGTGCTCACTTAATGTGCAAGGTTTTGAAATTCCATCGAGTTTTGAAACTATTATAGCATGCATAAGTAGTTTTAGGGGGATAATAATGAATTAATACTACACTTCCCCTGATGGTAAAATCCTAATAACAATGAGATCCATGTTTCATTCAAAGTTGCAACTACCGATTTGAAAGCGTTCCAATGGAACTATTGCCATTGTTTACACTTGCCTAACAGGGTACCTCTCTTGAGAGTGCAATGTGAAAAGGAGAATCAAGCGTCAAGGGGGTGTTTGTATTTCTTAGGGATAGTGACTGCTGTTTTTAGTTTTTCTTTTTCCCGAGGAAATAATGCTACACCTTGCGAATAAACTTTTTTGTAGTTATATTTAAGTTAAAACCTGAGTTTTCTTATGACTTTCATTTAGCGTGGTGCACTTCTGTGTGAGAGTTTTCAGTCTTACTTGAAGCTGTAGTTTAGAAGATCAGGACATTTATATAGTCATATTTGGCATAGAAAATGTGCTATCATCTTAATCTTTCTGTGTGTGTTTGTCATGTTATAACTAATAACTCCAGAACAATAAGGATTCTAGCATTCCAACTGCCAATAATCAGATCTGCAAATGCGATTGAGTTACTTAAGCTTATTATATACCCAAAAGTTAGGAATTTGCTCGAATCGGTGTTTTTTTTTTTTTTT